AAGAGGGGCAGGGGTGACGGGAGGGCAGTGGGGGGGCGGGCCGATGGGAAGGCAGTAGTGGGGGACACACGGGCCACCTGCAGAGGACCCCTTAAGGTACATTAATAATATTGGCAGGACTGGCGCTTGTTCGTACAGGAATTTTGGCGAATTATCAAGTGTGTCTTTTTCCAGGTACATTACTGCCACCTGCCAGAAAATCATATATTCTGATTTTTAAAAAAAATAAAAATCATAACAAGACACTTTACTGCCATCTGCTGGAAAGTTGTCGCAACAAATATACACTCTGATATATATTACAAGACCGGCACCCGGAGAACTGTGCAGCGCACAAGCTACGTAACAGCCGGTGGAACCCTGCAGGCGCCCTTACTCCATCGGGAAACTGATGCTCTAACCGGGGCTCCCTGCGCTGTGAGGAAGGTAGACCTGGGGTCAGACAACCTGCATCTACCATCGGCGGTGTCCTTCTAGGCAACTGACTTGATTTCCCTGGGCCTCAGTTTGTGCATCTATAAAATGACATATTAATTCTGACCTCACGGGGGCATTGAGCGGATGGCAGTGAGATACGGGCTCAGTAAAGAATAGGTCCTCTCTCGCTGTGGGGTCAGGAGTGTCTTAGAAAAGAGATGCGAGTCCCCAGAAGGGTGATGCCAGGAGCTGGGGTGCAGGGAGCATCCAAAGGGCCCTGTTACCTCCTCGTTGGAAAATCGCTCCGCCTGCGTGGTCAGCATCTCCTTAATGCTGCAGAGGGAGAGAAGCAGGTGTTGGTGCCAGGCGTGTGCAAGGGGAAGCGGTGAGCCCCTGCATCCCGCCCCCCCAGGTCCCACTCACTAATCAGCCTTCAGCACCCCTTTGCCTTCGGGGTCGAACACTTTGAACGCGTTGAGAATGGTCTCCTCGGGGTCCGCCCCTGAAACAGAGAGCAGGGTTGAAACGGACCGTGGGAGGCTGGGAACCTGTTGTACCCCAGGAGGCAGGACCTAAGGCCCCTCCCCGAGTTGGGGGGCCAGGGCAAGGCTATTTTGCTTGGAGGAGAGACACTGCCTTCCTCTGAGCACTGAGCCTCAGTTCCCACCTGCAGACTGGGGATCAGAAGAGAAGCTGCCTCCTAGATGCTGTTACATGAGGCGATGCGTGCACAGTGCTCAGCGTGAGGGCGGGCTCGGGGCACGCCTGGCAGCTGCCTCAGCTGCTGTTTTAATTCCCCTTTCCCGGTGTTCCTCGGCCTCTGTCTCCTGGCAATCCTTGTCTGTTCTCCGAGTGCTTTAATTCATACCCAAAGATGAAGACACACAAAGACAGACAGACACAGACACACAGATGCACACAGCTTACCCTTCAGTTTCTCCCCAAACATGGTGAGGAACACGGTGAAGTTGATGGGACCCGGGGCTTCCTTGATCATGTCGTCGATTTCTTCATTTTTCACGTTCACACGCCCTAGGGCGGGAAACACACACTCAGGGCCTCCAAGCGGGGACGGAAACGGCTGTTAGGACAACTGGCACTTGCCCCTGTAATTCCACCCGGGGAATCCAGTCTGAGTGATCAGAGACAGCGGCCCGGCCAAAGGTCCGCGGGAGAAGATGTTCCTAACGGTGTTGTTTATAATAGACGAGCAGCTGGAAGCAGCCCAGACTCTGACACAGGAGGGGATGGTTCTATTTAAAATAGTTTCTTTAGAACCTGGGGCGTTTTACACGGATACTTTAACATTTCACTCAAATGGGAAATGGTCGTCGTATAAATTGGCCCTTCTCAGCTGGAGGTGGGAGAGACGGGTCAGAATCCCTGGAGGGAACCTGTTCAAATGACCCCTGCTGTAACCCACACCGCTTTGGAGGTTCTGATGTGCCCCCTGCTCCAGTCTCTGCCACAGGCCCATATCGTACCTTTGTGCAAATTAGAAAAAGATACTTCTTAATTTTTTTTTTTACTTTTTAAAAATTCTCACCTGAGGACATACTTATTGATTTTAGAGAGGGGAAGGAGACAGAGAAACTGATGTAACAGAGAAACATCAGTTGGTACTTCCAATATTCGTCCTGACCAGGGGTCAAACCTGTAACCTAGGTATGTGCCCTGACCGGGAATGGAACCTGCAACCTTTCGGTATCGAGGGTGACACTCCAACCAGCTGAGCCACACCAGCCAGGGCAAGATAATTTATGTTTTAAATATAAAAATCTACAGTGGCTGCGAGCGTGAATAGTACTGCTGTTAGTGGTGGCCCTGAGCTCGGGGGGTAGGAATAGGGAGGGCGTTGAGTGGTGGCAAGTGGGATATGTATATTGTGAAAAAGCTCCATGCACTTATGCTCACACTGTTGAGATGTAAGATTTTAAAAAAGCTGAATCCCAAATGGAATGATTCCAGTTATTAACACCCCCATACACACCCCCATATACCGAGAAAAGACTTAGAGGCTGAAATGTTAACGGGAGTGTGGTCTAATGGGTAGTATTTTTTGTACTTTTCTAAATTTTCCAAGTTTTCTATTGTGAGCTGGCACTGCATTCAAATCACAGACACAAAAAGTTATTTTTAAAAAAAGATGTGAGAATGCTCCAAGATTAAGCCCTTTTTTCCTGTCCTCTGAAATTTGTCTTAAAGGCCAACCGCGGTTGAGCCCTTTCTTGGGAAAATGACAAGCTCTTCACCTTTTCGATGGTCCCACCTCCCAGCCCTCATGGGCACAGGATGAGACCTTCCTGCAGGCCCAGAGGGGGCAACGTACCAAGAGCAGCAAAGGTGTCCCTCAGATCATTCTTGTCGATGAAGCCATCCCTGTTCTGGTCCATGATGGTGAAGGCCTGTGAAAGGGAGGTGGTTGACTGGTCAGCCCAGGAGAAACTGGGGTGGGGAGGAGCCCAAGAGGCTGGGCCACGGGGCAGGGAAAGTGGGATTCTGGGATTTTCAAGGAACATTGAAGGACATTCTATCCGGAGTCAAAGATTTAATGCAATCTGGCAGGTCCTCAAAATGTTAGGAATATAGTGTTACCATACGATCCCGCAATTCATCTGCCAGGTTTCCAGTCAAGAGAATTAAAACACCTGTCTGCACAGAAACCTGAACGTGAATGTCCACAGCAGCGTGATTCATTATAGCCCCAAACTGGAAACAGCCCACATGTCCATCAACAGACGGATGGGTAAGCAAAATGTGGTCCATCGATACAGTGGAATACTACTCAGCCGTGAAAAGGGAAGGCAATCATGACATGTGCTACAATATAGGTGAGCCTTGAAGCATGATGCTGAGTGAAAGAAGCCAGACACAAAAGGCCACATAGTGGGTGACTCGATTTCTATAAAATGTCCAGAACAGGCAAATCCATAGAGAGAAAATAGGGCAGCGGTCACCAGCGGCTGGGGGAAGAGGGAAGTGGGGAGGGACTGCTAACGGGTGTGAGGTTTCTTTTGAGGGTTATAACTGCTCTGAAACTAGGTAGGGATAATGGTTGCAAAACTCTGCGACTATACTAAGTAGCCACTGAATTATACACTTACTTTAAAAATGCAAATTTGTGGTATGTGAATTATATTTCTATAAAGCTGTTACTGAAAAAAAAAAAACAAGTTAAACACTAGGGTCTCGTGCCTTCCCCCTGACTGGCCGGCCCAATTACCTAACCGAGAGCCGGTAACCCTTCTCAGCCGGCCAGCAGGGAGACTCCGAGACCTTCGTAAATGCCCGCGTGTTTTACAGATGACACGTCGTCTCCCTGTTTTCTGAGTTCTTTGCTGCAGCTGGTGGCTGAAAAGATTTGCAGCCCCTGCCCACACTCCCAGCAGCTGGTCTCATCTCAGAGGCCGGGCAGGGCGGGGGAGACGGGTGGTGGAGCTTCCTCCCTGGAAGGTGACCGTTTCAAGTTCAGATAGGACATTTCATCCCAGGAATGCCTCTTTCCCGGGTGGCCTAAGGGACTCAACGTTCCTGTGATCTGAATGTTAGTGGGGACAGAAGGCGCAAGTGTGCGAACGTCCCACTTGGAAGTGCCAGTGGTTTGCCCTTTGGAGATAAAGCACCCCGGCCCCTTTAGCACAGTTCAGCATATTTTCCTGGGGGGTGACAGTGTGAGGCAGTCTCCACGGCTGAGGAAGGAATTAACCAGGCAGTGGCTTAATTTTGCCTGATTGGCACTTAGAAAGCTTCGTAAGGCGCAGTCCTGTAGATGCGATGGGGCTTCCCACCCCCCGGGATTCAATCGAGGGCGGTAAAACCCGAAACCCAGCAGACGCTGCTTTTCATCTCTCAGATGGGCAAGAAGAATATTTTAGACTATTAATGGCCAATGTTGCCAGAGGTGCGGGAGGAGGAAGCACTCTCTCCTCTTGGGGCCAGTGGGAGTAGGAATCGGCACCTCGTTTCTGGAGGACAGTTTGGACGCATCGACTGAGAGAGAAACAGAAACGCCGATGGGCTGCCTCCCGCGCAGGCCCCGGAGCGAGGCGCCTGCCCGCTGAGCCGCAAGCCGGGGCTGCTTTTTTTTTTAAATTCCTTCCTGTGACCCAGCAATTCTGCTTTTAGGATTTGATTCCAAGGAAATACCCAAGATACGAGCAAAGATGTGTTACTTATAAAAATAAAACATCCTAAAGACGTAACATCCCACCGTAGGAAGCGGTTTAAAGAAATGATAGAAAATGGTGATATTGCCTCGCTCAAAGAAAACCAGCAGGCACTGAGGCAGGAGAGCGTAGCTCTGTTCAACAAATATATACGAATGTAAGAAAAATGGCTTGAAGGGCATCTACCGGAATGTTAACTGATTATTTCTGCATCATAGAATTGCAGGTCATTTTTGTGTGTGTGCTTCTCTGAAAATTTTTCTACATTTTCAACAAAACACTTTTCTTTGATGATTAGCAAAAGTTACTAAAAAGAATTTCTTGAAGTGGGCGACACGCATGTGCAGATGGAATCTGGGGTTTTTGGAGGGTACAGACGTCTAAGCGAGGGGTCCCCGCAGAGAATGCGGAACGAGGGGCAGGTGCCCCTAACGGGTGGGAATCTGCATCCAGGCCGGCGACTCCACAGCTGCACCCACCTCCTTAAATTCCTGGATCTGGGTCTGTTCAAACATGGAGAACACGTTGGAATTGGCGCCCTCTGCTCTCTTCTTGGCTTTCTTGGGTGCCTGGGGGGGGGAGCATCGATTAAAAAGAGTCAGAAATTAGAAAACTAGGTCAGGCCCAGTCTCCGAGTGAGCCTCAGCTGCTCATCTGTGAAACGGGGGTAAGGTGTCCACACGCTTCTCAAAACAGTGATTGATGCAGGAGAGCTAAAAGGACACGAAATGACACTTCGCAAAGGCCCCCCCGGTTCTGGTGGGGCCTGAGAGATTGTGGGTCTTGTAGCAGCCCCTTTTTAAAATCTAGGAGAGGTGGAGGCGTCTCTGGGGCCGGAGCCCCGCTTTCCGACCTGCCCCGGCAGGGCCCAGCTGCTTTTGTTCTGACGCGTTTCACAAAAAGTTCAGCAACGCACAGAAGGAGGATTGAT